TATATTTGAAATGGGATTTCAAATTATAATGCATTTTTGTGGGTCAACTTCTTGAAATATAAATATTCGTTATCATTTTTATTATTTATTATGTCCTATCTGTTGAAAATATTTTTAGTATATTTGTTTTTTAATAAGACAAGAATATTATCTTATGTCTACTATATTCCATCATATTTATTACTTATTATATATATTATATATTGATATATTTCGTATTTTATCTTTTATTTTCTACTTACTATCTTTTGTCTTTGTCTTTATCTTGCTATATTATTTTCTTCTATATATCATTTATTTTTATGAGAATAATAACAGAAGGATTTGAACTTATGCGTAATTCTCCCAAACACTCAATCAGACCTATGAAACGTACAATTTAAATGAAATATGTTTTGATCTCCCTAAGTTTTCCCTGGGCGAATGCAGAAAGCACTTTAAAAACAAAGATATTTGTGCGACTGGCGCTTGCTCTCTCTGTCTCCCTCTCTCTCTTTCTCCCTCCTCTCTTAGGCGCCCTTTTCTAAACGAATTCCTGTCTACGCCTCTGGCCATGGCAAGCTGCGGTTAGACACTGTATAGGGAGTGGTTCGCGTCCACTTTTGCATGCTAACACAATGGCGTGTGAGTAGCAGCAAAAGCAACAACAACAACAATATAATATAAATGAAAAAAAAAAAACAGAGGAAGTAAATAGTGGAAAAGGCATAAATAATAGCAAATAATACGGCGACAATGCGCACAAATTTGCCGCTAAAGTGTAGTCATTGTCGGCCTCCACTTTAGCTGTATGTGTGTGTTTGTGTGTGTGTGCGTGAGGCAGCCAAAAAGTGGGCGGGCCCTTGGAGGGGTCTGGTCACACTCGAGTTGCCATTTTGCATGAATTCGCTATTTAAATTTATTATACATTAGATTTATGTGCGCGTTGAGTTGCCTACGCCTACGACTCTTAACACTTATCATTGGCCTTTTGTGGTCGCTCTTGTGGCTGAAATTTTAGCATTCGAGCGATGGGGGAAGTGGGGCTCAGTGTATATAATCCCTGACTGAAACCTCTGCCGGGCTGTGTGTTTTAAGTGATTTCTTACACTTGGCTGAGCCACTGGGCATGCACAATTATTATTATAAAGCCAATCGCTGGCACAGTGGCACGGTGGTTTCAGTGGCTCATGTGTGTGTTTGTGCCACTTCTGTCACATGAGTTGCGGTTTAGTATTACTCTCCATCTTTCACTTGTGAGTGTGTTCCTTTTTTCAGTAATATTAATAATAATATGTTTGCTTGCCTTGCATGGCAAGGTGCTTATTTGAAGTGTGACAGAATTCAAAGTTGAAACGGAAACGGAAACCGTGCACGCTTGTCCCATAACACGCAGTCCACACGGCTTGTAAAACGAATTGAGGTGCAATTATATTATTAACGTTAATCAAAGCTCGTTTATTTCAAAACTTTTTACCTTTATGGCTAAATAAGCAATGCGATGGCAATCGGACGGAACTTTTCTATATGAAGTCATTTGAAAAACCTTTTTACACCTATACATATGTATGTAGTTATAGATTGAGGTATAAATTCAGATATTGAGGTTGATTAATGAATTATATTATTGTATTATATATACAATATTTCAATTTATAATTATTCCATTATTCCATAAATTGTTTTTAGATTATCTGAAAACATTCTGGGAGAACAAGTAAAAAACGACTGATATGTGATATCAATTTCAAAGTGTTTCATTAGTCGAAATGAAATATAGTAAAAGCTATTATTCTTCTTAAAGGCTATTCGGATGCTAGGGACAAATATGTAATTTTGCAGTTTTGTTTAATTTGTGCGTTATTTTTTTATTTATACAATAAAATGATTTTATTACCTATTCAAAGAAATACACAAATAGGATTTTGTTGTTATAAGTAGGCATAGTTTTTGTTTTAGTTTTCTTCAAGTTTGATTTGATCGATTTTAATTTATTCTCTTTTGATTTAGTTGTAGAGCAACAGCGCTGTTTTCTAATTCTTTTTTCATTGTTCTTTTACATTTCCTACATTTTTACGAATCTTTTCAAATTTATAGTACAAATTAATGAAAGTGCAATTTTAGCAGAGTAAGTAAATAGTTGAATTAGCAGTGAATACTCTTATTGGCATTATCTTTCTGACTCAGATAAAATGAGATTTGTTCTATAAAATCAATTAAATTAATTAATTCGATTTGATTTTTGTCAGCTTGATACCTCAAATTTTCTAAAATATGGCCTCGATTGTCGGATATGTGCCCCTGTTGGGGGAGGGAGAAGCTATGCCAGCATGGATGCACTTTGACTGGAGCGCAAAAGTGCAGCATGATATCTATAGGGATTGGGGCACTTACTATTCGAATCGGCGCCGCGAGAACTTTGCACTTTACTACCTGACCCAAGCGCTGCTGCTGGAGAACGATGATTGGAGTACGATGTACAGACGTAGTTTAACCAGGGGCAAAGCAGCAGACATTCCGGCGGCATTACAGGATGCCATAACAGCTGAAGGTAAGTCTAGCCGTTGAATTGAGAACAGTATATTCCACTCGTTTGCGAATTCAATAGAAATGGCCTTAAATGACGTGGGACCCAATTGTCCAATTAATTTACAAATATGCGACTGTCTATTTAATCTCAACAAGTTCGAGGCGTGCAAAGCCAATCTGCATAACAACTTAAGGCGATTCATGGGTATTAAAGCTAAGAACTTTGAGAAGCGTCTCATCGTGGTAAGTTTAAAATAAAACACGAAATCGTATGAAGTATTCCAAAAAATATTTTTCTTATATCTACAGATTGACGATGTAATTCGAGACGTTACGGGCAAGGCTCTGTCTTTGTTCTATCTGAGAAACCAGAAACTGGTGCGACACGTGAGTGAATTGATCAGAGCGAGTGAAATTGTCGATGATCGTCCGATGTGGAAGAAATTGAAAGAGCAAGGAAAATGTGATATACTAAGCATACCAGATGAAGAGGTTTGCACTTAACTATAATCATATATATATTTGATTTTCAAACACATTGCACCCCCAAACAGGAAATCTTTTTGTCTCCATTGGAGATAGCACGTCGGAAGCGGGCCTTCAATGTTATCCACCAGACTTATTTGAATGAGTCGTGGTACGATGTCCTATTCCTGAAAAACTTACGCACAAATCCCAGTTTGCTTCTAAGGCAATGCAAGAACTCGAGACAGTTTCTTGAAACACTGGTTAATAAACAATACGATGTTGTTCGGCGTTTCATAGTTAGTATTAAGCATAGAGTGTCTAAATGTATGATAAATAAAATCGAATCCTCGTTGTAGAAAATGATTCATAGCCGCAGTCCACTTTACTACGTGAGCTTCCTCAAGTTCAAGAATAAGAAAATGCTGGAAAAGAACAAGGAGGCATATCTGTTCCGCATTCAGTATCAGACACATCGAAATATGATTCATGATTTACGGCAAATTCATAAGCTGAGAAAAGAGAAGAAAGTCAAAGTATTTATATATAATTACATGATTTTTCTATTTTGCATTTCTAAATATATATTCATATACCTTAGCAACTTTCCTCCTATGTTGAGAAGATCATGGGCGATTATTATGTGACGAAAACGAATCGTGTTATGTGCTGGAAGTTTGAGTTCTACAATGAGGTCTACAATAGCGTGGCCCTTGCACTTGCCGAGCAGTATTCGGCGCCCAAGGATATCAAAAAATCAAAAATAACGTTGCTTGAAATGCTTCTGCTGCCAAAGGACAAATTCAAGGAAGCTACGCCATTCGTGTTCGGAGATAGATCAACGTATACAGATGGTGATTACCAGGATCCCGTTGCAATAAGAGCAAGGTAAGATACAATGGACTCTTACATAACTTCCACATAATAATAACATAATAATAATAATTTGTAATCCAAAGAAAACTTATATCCCGGCTGGAGAAACGCATTCGATTCGCCAAATTTTCGATTGAGAAATGTTATCTATACCACCAGATAGGCGACATCCATTTGAGCCAATTGCGTTACGACGAATGCTGCTTAAGTGCGCGCAGAGCAATCAAAGGTGCCTTTAATAGTAGAATATGCATTCCCGTATTATGAAATTATTTTAATATGTTCCATTATTCTATAGAAACGCAAAACTGCAATAGCAATATCTGGAAGTTCCTTAGCATGCTGCTGATAATCAAGGCAAACGCCTTGCAGCAAAAGGTAGAGAAGACAAAGGAAGCTGCCGACGAGGCAATACCTGTTGCCGAACAGCTGAAGTCCCCAAGACTGATCAAATTTATAGATGCTTGCTATAATTTCGCTGTCGAGGACTTCCGTCGCAAAGCAGCCTCATTAGCGGTTGCACGGGCCAGCAGAGCATCTCTAGGAGGGTTTCTGGGTAATGAAGAGGAATGAATTTGATAACAAATAAATATATAATTAATTATGCGAATACAATCAAAAACGCTAAGCGAATAATTAAAACAAACAAATAAAATTTATATATAAAAAAAAATATTGTAAAAAACTTGTGAAAATACAAAAAAAAAAAAGATAATCATAATAATAAAAATATATAAAAATATAAATATTCTCTAGATCGCATTATATTCAGTCGAGTTTCGATAAAATGGCATAAAAATCGACCTCAGCTTAAGCATTATACTGATGGTCGTATGTCTACAGATATTTTTACCGAATCTATAAAGACGGCGCCCGAACAGATAAAGTAAATGCCAGATGGTTCTAGATGGGCAATCTATATATTGCTTCTACGGTATGTGAAGAATACCAACAGTTATAATTATAAAGAAACGAAAAATACCCCAAGAGATAATTCCATCTTCACCTTAACAAAGGACTGAAAATTTTCATTTCAATTCAATCTAGAACCCTTTGACTTGTTTTATCGATTACTTGACTTGGAGCTACACTGAATTAGCTTCAGTAACAACACATAAACAGAAGGAAACAGGTCAACACAAAAGAAAACATTTATAAAAATTGTTTTTTTTGTAGCTTTACAATTTTATAATTTTGCAAAGGATCTAACCATCAATAGGAAAAATGACATCAATTGTGGGCTATATTCCGTCCCCGACGCTTGATGGCGCGATACCGTTATGGCACAAGTTCGATTGGAGCCCGGAAGTTGAACATGATATTTATAGAGATTGGGGCACATACTACTTCAATAGACGTCGAGAGACTTTCGCCTTGTACTACTATACGAAGGCATTGGATATCGACAATTATGATTATATGACGCTCTACCGACGCAGTCAGGTGCAACGCAAGGCTGCACGCATCGAACAGGCCCTGACTGATGCACGATTGGCTGCCAGTAAGTATAATATTTTCCAATAATTGTTTGAAACGAGGACGATTGATGAGTGTGGATCGATCACAGAAATCGGCATGGTGGCGCGTGGTCCGAACTGTCCCATCAATTTGCAAATTTGCGATGCGTTGTTCGAGCTGAACCAGTTTGAGAACAGTGCAATAGAACTGCACGATAATATACGAAGTTTCATTGGTGTCAAGGCCAAGAACTTTCAAACACGAGTCATGGTGGTAAGATATCACTGTATATAGGGATGTAAAATATATACCTCATATGCGAGTCAAAATCTTAGGTCAACGATGTCATCCAAGATGTCACATCGCGTGCCATGTCCTTGTTCTTCATGAAAAATCGAAAACTCATTCAACGCGTCAGAGAGATTAACAAAGCGAAGGAGTTCGTTGACACGCGGCCCCTGTGGAAGATATTGAGAGATCAGCATAAGTGCGATGTGCTTAGTATACCCGAAATAATTGTGAGTCCAAATACGCTCTACTAAATACTTCTACAAATAATTGCTTGAAATACCTTTAGGAAGAGATTTTGTCACCTCTGGAAGTATCGCGCAGAGCGCGTGCCTTCAATGTGATACATCAAAACTATCTCAACGATTCGTGGTACGATGTTCTCTTCATGAAGAATCTGCGAAACAATCCGAGCTTACTTTTGGATCAATGCAAACGCTCTAAAAGTTTCCTGAAAACCCTTGCCTTCAAGCAGTACGAAATCATAAGGCAGTTTATAGTAGGTTTAATATCGAATGCGACTCTAATCTGTTGTAACTCATAATTGGTTTATCGCAGAAAATGTTGCAAAGTCGCAGTCCTCAGTATTATGTGAGCTTCTTGAAGTTCCCCGACAAGAAAATGTTGGAAAAGAATAGAGAGGCTTATCTATTCCGCATACAATATCAGACGCATCGTAATATGATTCACGATCTTCAGCATATACGAAAACTGCGTAAGGCCAAGGACCTAAAGGTATATACAATATTATTATATTGATATATATGTCATATTTATATGATAATCTATAGGAGCTTGCCGCTTATGTTGAGAAAGTAATGGGCGATTATTATGTGACGAAAACGAATCGTGTTATGTGCTGGAAATTCGAGTTCCACAATGAGGTCTATAATACCTTGGCTTTGGCTTTGTGCGAGCAATATCGCGTGCCAAAGAACTTTAAGGTGGCGCAAAGAGCCATGTTGAAATTGTTGATGCTGCCTGTCGATAAGGTGAAAGATGTTGTGCCGTTCGTGTTTGGTGATCGGTCGACATATCAGGAAGGGGACGAGGATGTGGAAGGACGAAAATGCCGGTGGGTGAAGAACAAAATTTGATAAACCACAATTTCTATTATTATTTCTTATAGCAAAATGTCAGCGCGTCTGGAGAGACGAATGAGATTTTCCAAATTTTCGATAGAGAAATGTTATCTATACCATCAGATGGCTGCCATTCATTTGTCTCAGCTGCATTACGACGAGTGCTGCTTCAATGCACGCAGATCGATGAAGGGTGCGCATAGCTTATTCATATTTTACGGTTAATTATTAATTGGTTCCCCTTAGAGAGTCAAAGCTGTAACAGCCTTATCTGGAGGTTCCTGGGCGTAATACAAATGATCAAAGCAACAACGTTGCAGCATAAGATAGAGCGCACCAAAGATCTTCTAGAAGAGGCTCTGCCGATTGCCAAACAGCTCAAATCTCCGCAACTCATCCGATTTATCGATGTTTGCCTCTTATGCACTGACGACGAATACAGTCGCAAGATGAGCTCGATTGCCAGCCAGAGGGCCAGCAAGGCATCAACTTTATTCTCTGGGCAGGAAGTGGGTGAAATTTGTACAAATATTTCTGCTAACGATACTTTAACAATACAATTTCTTTACAGATTGATTTGGACTAAGAACTATTCTTTGATGATTGAAAGTACAAATAATTATTATTCTAATAGTAAATTACTCCATAAAGAAAATCATACAAGATTCAAAGAAATCAAACCATTTCGACAGAGGCACTTTGGGATTGAGGGATCTTTTCTATGACAAATTGAAGACAGATCAATGGATCAATAATAATTATATATAATTTTAAATCTTCATACCTCGGAAAATAGTTTGCATTTCACAGAAAATACAGAATAAACCAATTAAAATTGGCTGTATTTTCTGTCACATTAAATACTTTGAAAATACGTACTTTGTTTTTTTATTCTTTATTTTAACTGAAATAAAACTTTGCTTTTGTGAGCCTAGGTGCCGACACAAGGTCAATTATAGGTCCTAGGACTCGTATGCATTTCCATTTGTAGTCCCGCTCTACCAAACAGATTTAGTTTATAGCCATGCTATCTTTGTGGCCGCCCATTAACTGGTCTCGTGTGATAACAGCTTTTATGTTAACCTACATTTAAAATGAAAAAAAAAAAAAAAACAATATATATATATATAGGAAAATTTACGTGAAAAACGCGTCGTCGTAAAATTTCTATCAACTCGATTAAATTATAACAAGTGGATTTTCATGTTTTTGTGTCGCATTTATGGCTTTTTATTGTGCTAATTTTATGCGCAGCCCGAACGAAAGGTGGCTCCTTGAGAAACACAGGCCCGCACACACACGACACACACACATGTATAGATAGGCACCTGCAATAATACTTGGCACACATTTAGTGGCAGCATTTAGTGGCACATTGCGGTGCCAACGTTGGCGCTGAAGTTCATCCTTAGGACATTGCCACGTTGCTGTTGTCGCAGTTGTTGTGTGTGAATGTGTGCGTGTGTGTATGTATGTGTGTGTGGCACCACACTTGGCAAACTTTTTGGCCTACCTGCTCGGCACGGCACAGCGTTGCTCTCACCTGTTAGCCTGCCAGTCAGCCAGACAGCCGCCCACTCGTGTGCCTTTTGTCTTATCAAACTTTGCCGCGCATGTGTTTATGCCACAAATGGCACTTTTGCGGCAGCGCATTTTATTTTTTTACTGCCACTTTTCGCCATTTTGCTTTATCATTTTTATATGGGCTGCCTTCTAGGCAGTTGGGCGTGGCTGTAGCTGGCGCTAAATTATATAAATATAAGTATATTACAGTCAACCGCCAACTGCCCTCAGTATTTGCAGGCTCAACGTTTCAGACTAGCAGCTCTAACAAGTAAAATTATTTTATTTTTTCACTTTATTTAGATTTTTACTACTACTACCTTTGAATTTTAAATTAAGAAGCTCTAAGTTGTAAAAAATATAATTAAAATATATTTAATACAGTAAGAACATATTTCTATACTTTGAAGTTTTAAGAATAATTTATATTTTGATATTTCTTCACAACAGTTGTGTTGTCATATACATTTTATTATACCCTGAACCCATTGAAAATGGGAAATCAGGGTATAATGGTTTTGTTAAAATGTATGTAACAGGCAGAAGGAGGC